GCTTGTGTTTAATACTTCCTCTATTGACACACTCAGCAGAAAAGGAAAAGCTTAGAAATTAACTACCTAAAATGACAAGGGAAGAGACGCAAAGCAAGCTCAGACCAGGGACAGCAAAGAACCACGCAAAGCGCAGACAGAAGTCAGTGTTTCTTGTCTGGCAGATGAATGTACAGCTGAAAAGAGTTTCAATAAAGCTTTTACCAAGCGTTAAGTACTCAAAAAATTCAGGGTTTAACCTTGCTCATCTCAGACATGCAAGGAATTGCCCTCAGATGCAGAGACACATTTTGCATGAGTTAGTTTACATGGTCAGGAGAGGTACCAATAATAATGCTTTAAGAACTGAAAACACATCTTATGCTTAGTAATGTAGTACCTTAAGTGATTTACAGGTTTTTTTTTTTTCCCATCTACATTACAAGCAACAAGAAAATAAAGGGTAAAGATAAAAAATTAGACTTAAATATGAACCCAGCTCACGTTACCACATCAGTTCACTTCATACCATTTAAAAATCAGACCCCCTTCCCCTGTGGAAAAAGGGGTCATGCCTTGCAACAAGAGCACAAGAAGCATCAGCATGGAAGTCTGGAGCAGTAAAGATTGAGAAAAGTTCATGTATCTCAGCGTGGGAAGGATACTCTCAGTGGGAGCAAGGATGCCTGCACAGGAGAGCTGACGTCAGTGGAAGTGGGAGGGAAACGGTGATAGGAGGTTTGTCAGGGAAATGACTGAGGATGGTGTCAGTGGGAACAGGGAGGTATCAAGACAGTGTGGACAGCCTCAGTGGAAGCATGAACAGTACGTGTGGGAATTTCAAAGGGAGGGAGGGCGGGCTTGTCTGCTCCAAGGGGAAGGAATTACCAGACAGGCAGGAAGAGAGAAGACAGCTTAACTGACTAAATGATGTGCTGTTAAACGCTGAAGCGAGATGCACTTCAGCGCTGCAGGTACAATACAGCATACAGCCTCCTGTGTGCAGAATTACGCAACCATTGGCTTGCAGCGACTGCAAAATTCTCAGGCAATTTCACAAGGCTTGAATGAAGAAAACTTACCAGCTGTAAGGCCACGGATTTAAACTGGCTGTCCCATATCAGCTGATAAATCAAAAGGCTATTTCATTTAGCTCTGCTGGCTTAGGACTATTTTTAATTTAAAACAAAGGAAGTTTGGATTTATTCTCTCATCCCTTTGCACTGAAATGCATGTATTTCTGTGTTACATCTACGTGACAGGGAGAGTTACACAAGAGGAAGGAAATCTCATATACGTAAAAGAATGACAGAGCAAAATAAATGTGCAACGTATGCGCTACAGTGAATAATAATGCGCTACAGAAGAGGAGTGACACTCATACATGATGTTGGGACAGCATATGCTTATGAATACACAAGCCAATTGTAAATAAATCATAGAATCATTAAGCCCTTATACCATTCCAGCACTTATCCCACTCATGCTATAAATTAAACAGAGGTATTATTCTCAAGGTATTTAAGCAGGTTTCTATAAAGTTAAGTACCTTTACTGCACATTCAACACCACAACTCTCTGAAAAAGAAAATCATAGCTATAAAATCTATGAAAAACAACCACAATTTTAAGTCCACTTTCTTGAAATTGCTAAAGCTAAAAATAAACCACAACAAAACACCCCAAAAAACACCCAACCCACAAAAAAAACCCACAAACAAATAACCAAAAAGAAAAAACCTCCAAACCAAAAAATCCCAACACAACAACAAACCCCTCTCCTTTGCAAGAGTACTGGGGAAGTGTCATTTGATATTCTTAATATAGCACTGGATAATGAAACCCAAGTCACTGCATCCAAGTCTTGCTCATCTTTCACTGGGAAAGTGCAGAGTTTAGGCTGTGGAACTGATACACTGAAAATTAAGGAAGAGTTTTCATGGTGGTTCACTTTTTGATACCACACATATTCCAAGAAGCTCTTACATTTTCAAATAAAAGCACTGTATGAAAATTCTAATGAAGGAGGAGATACAGGCCCTATGGCCAAATACCATTTATTAAAAAGGCTCCTCCATTTCTCACATACTGTCTCCATACTTGTACATACCAGAAACAGGTATTATGGCACTTATCTCTACACACACACACATGCACACTTTCAGGACTGCTCAATAAATTTGCTATGGATAAACTTAGGGGGTTCTGTGCTACAGAAGAGCACATAACTTTTTAAGCTCGAGTTTGTAAACTGATGCAAATCACAAAATACAGTATGCTCACACCACACATCCAGAAAATCATCTTGACCAGAAGAAAGACAAAATAAGACATAAACATAAAGCCAGAAAAGGTCTGGGGCTAATCAGCAATACATGTAATGCCATTTTACAATTAGCGTGAGTTATTTCTTTTTATGATACTGACTTGAAAAGCATTCACTATAGCTAAACACCAGATTCAATAAAAGTTGTTGCACTATTATACATATTTTAATAAACTTAATGTTAATGCCAGCCAAAATTAAAATATGAAATGTACACATGGGCTAAGTTTTGGTTTTAGTTCTAGCACAGGACTCTTGGCTTTAATCTGTGCATATACAACAAAAGACTCTGAATGAATTTCAATCAAAGTGCTCTGACACCAAGTGCAAATGCCATTCAGGCAGGTTACTGGCTATTCACACAAATTCTGATGACATGACCACTGCTCAAAGCACAAAAGCATCCTGTGTTCATGTGAGGGTATCCCAGGGGCCATAAAGGGTGTATGACAAGCACAGTGAAGCATAGCAATGGTTCCTAGTAGCGCCCTAATTATTACAGTTCTTCTTCAAATCAAAAATCCTTTTAACTCCAAAACGGCACAAGGTCCTGCCCAATGCTCCTTTTGGCTTCAGGAATTTCAGGCTCCTGTCCATTATCGTCAATGTTCTCATCAAACTTCGTTTCTTTCCAAACAAGTTCAGTGTCCTATGAAATCTGCTCTCTGTGACAGCACAGCCCTCTCCTTTAGCACAACTACTAAGACAACACCGTTATCCAGGACACTAAGAACTCTAAATCTGATCATATTATACACACTAATGATAAAAACAGAGAATGAAATACCATGTTGCTTTATAGCTCTAAAGAGTATTACAGGATTTTGCACATGAAAATCAGACAGATGTGATGGCTCCAACAGATTCTGTATTCAGCTGAGCACAAACAGAATTCCATTCTCACTTCTCAAAAACCATCGTTTCACAGCAATGTGCTTAAAGTGATGACAAGGGCAGAAAATACCACAGAGTGATAAAAATCAGAATGACTGCCAATGAGAGTACAGTCTGAATAAAAATCAGTATCACCCTATAGCATCTGGCCGAATTATCCAAACTTAGAAACAAGAATTTTTACAGAGTTCTTGAAATCAAACAGCAAAATTTAACAAAATTAAGACCACTTCCCATGAGTGCCTCTGGAAACACATTTTAGAGTTGTTTTTTAACCCATAAGCAAGCACACAGAAGGCAAATTCACAGAATATAAATTTTAAGAATACTTTCGGTTTAGATTCTGTAATGTGCAGTTATATTCAGTATTAAAAATCCAACTAGCAAAACTACTGTCAGGATTCTGATGACAAATTAAGTGTCTTTAATGTGGTTATCATATTAAACATGCTATAAGCATGTCTATCATGTGTGAACAGGGCCATAAAGTTCACTGTCCTGTATGTTATTAACACAAAAATTTAATGTAACACCATTCACCTTCATGTTCTGCCTTAGATATTTTAATTCCTCCTCCAATTCACTACCAACAAAGTTTCTTCTCAATTTCTAGACTTCTTTTAAAGTCCTATGAACTGAAATGACTGAATTCACATAACAATAGAAGAAAATAAACCACATAACTTAAGAAAATTATTCTGGGTCAATGCTCCAGAAGCCATCTTAATGAGCATGTAAAAATCCTAAGAAAACTACAGACCATTAGTTCCTGTGAGCCCACAAAACGCTTGACATTTTGCTAGTTCTTGCCTGCATCTCAAGCCTGTATCTTGTATTTACGGCATGTGTACCTCAGTTCTTACCACAGTAACCCAAAGCAGATCAGCCATGTTATATAATATCCCTTGGGCTACTACAACTTGGTTTTACTTTTTATATTTGCAATTACTTATTTTTACAAAATACAAATAGCTCCACCCCCAAAAAAAGCAAAAATATAGGACAGTGAAAACCTACAGCGTTAGGATCTAAAGTACGGCTCATACATAAACAGGCCATGAATGGAAAGTAAACAGAGAAACAGGCACTCCACACCACTCTCTCAGTTAAAACTAACAAAAATCACAAATTACAATTTTTTTCAGCATGTGCCTAGCGCATTCATACAGCCTTGGGTTGTGTCTCTACGTACGCTAGCACACTCAGAAAACCCTCCCAAAAACACACTATCTGCAGCAACAGACAAGGTCAACAAGTTGTTAATGTAAATCAGTACCCAGAGCAAAAACCGCTGCCGCTCTCCTTTCAACTTTCTGAATGGCAGAGGTATGCAAACCGATCAGCTGGGCTAGCAGATGCCTCAGACTGCGATTTGCCTCCGCTTCCAAATAAGACAAGCACAAACAGCAACACTGGACAATCCAGCACAAACACACACAAAGAACACAGTAGCAGTGCAGCTCCCATGCATGGCGGAGTCCCACCACGGACGGACGGACGGGGGCCTCCGGGTTTAGAAGCAAGACCCGTGCCCCTGTTTCTAACAACTGACGAGGACAACTACAGTTTATTTCCTCCCCAACATCAGGAAAAGGCATTTTGTGGAATGAAGAAAGAGAATTGGGTACATCTATAAAGTCGTTTCAGGAGACTGGTTAGTTTTCTAAATGAAAGTAATCGCTAAAGCCAGAAAAAGCTTCCCTGCAATGTATCACTTCAGCAGGGAGACTCGTTGGGTTAGTCCACTACAGCCAGCTCCCGTTCTGAGAGAAACAGCGTTTATGTTTAGCACTCTTTTTACCTTAACACTGGATCTGCTGGTCTCGACCTCTGCCTCCATGCTCTGGCTGTTCTCTCTCTTGTTTTTCTTAGAGGAATTAGTCCTTGCCTCATAAGTGGACGTGTTGTAGCATTTAATGAATAATCCTGGGACGGGGTTGCCTTGCTGCTGTTGAGACATGGTTGTGTTGGTCTGGTGAGGGGAATTGCACTCTTCAGACTCACTGCTACTGTGACAGATCACTCTGCTGTCAGAGAGGTTGGTGCTTGGAACACAGCCCATGCTTTGTGGCCACCTGGGGAATACTCTAAATTGGGTGTGTATATAAATATATATATATGAATATATATATGTATCTTTCCTTCCCGTTGGTATTTTCCCCCTGCTTAATTTTTTGTTAACAGGTTGAACCTCTTCCCTGGGTCTCCGCTACACTCTGAAGCATTGCCATCGGTCCCTTTTACACACCAAAAACGTGTCTGTTCTCCTCGTCCTCCAGGAAACGGGTCCTTTTATCTCAATCTCAGCAGTGGGCTGGGGAGCTGGAGGGAAGGGGTGAAATCAAGAACTGGTCTACTTCATATTTTCACAATTATTTTTTCTAAGCCATCTGAGAATCTTGCTAGAGTTTTCTCTCCTCCAGGGAAAAACAAAAAAGGCAAGAAAAAACAAAGGGGGAGGAAGGGCAAAAATAACAAGAAGCCCCCTAGCCCCCCAGAACACGCACCCCAGCGTCTTCTTGGCTCAGAGCGGCCGGGGGCACTGCACCATCTCCTCCTTTCTAGTCCGGAGCACGGCGCATTTTCCACCGGGGCTTGTACGGCGAGACCGGTTAACCCGGGAACGGGCCGGGGGCCGCTCCCCACCGCGTCCTCCGCGCTCCCGGCCAGCAGCGCTCACACCTCGCGGTCCTGCTCGGCGCTGTGCCGTGGGGTGCCTTGGGACCAAACACAGTAATTTAAACGAATAACAGGAATAATGGAAGATTGCCCTTCCGCGCCGGGGAGCCGGCTGCGCCCCTCACACCGCGCTGGGCATGTCCCGCGCCGCCTCCGTCGCGGGCGGGCGGCCGCCGCGGGGGTGACATTCAGGTTCCCGTCGTCGGAAGGAAGAGCCCCCCGTCAGGCTGCAGCAGCATCCCGCCGGCGGGGCGCGGGGCAGGGGCGGGCCGGGCCGCGGGGAGACCCCTCAGCGACCGGGCCGAGTGCCGGGGGCGGCTCTCGGAGAAGCGGGGCACAGAGCCCGGAGGGTTTCCCAGTGCCGCGGGAGAAGCCGGCGCGGCTGCCGGAGGCATCAAAGGGCCTCCATGTTGGGGGGATTTCTTTTTCCTTTTTTTTTTTTTTTTTTTTTTTTTGGTCAGAGAAACGATGCGAAACGGCGAAGAGAAAAAAAATCAAAAATTAAGAAACAGGAGGAAAAATTAAAAGGAGCGATAAGTAGAAGGAAAACGATCCTAGCGTCCCATCCCGGCGGAAAGGGCTGCAGCGGCGAGAGCTCTAGTTCCCAGGGCCGTGGTGCCTGCATCCCTTGCGGCAGGGAAACGCCTCTCTCCTCGCAGCCGCCGTCCCTCGCTCTGCGCTCACCTTGTTATTATTGATGTTCCTCAGCAGCGAGGCAGCCTCCGCACCGCCCCTCCTCGCAGCAGCCCCGCCTCGTGCCCGCCCCGCGGCCCCCCGCCCTCGGCGCTTGACAGCGGCGGAGCCAATACAAGCACCCGGCGGCGCTGACCTCCGGCCGGCGCTGGCGTCAATGCAAATCACCCGCCGAGGGCCAATGGAGCGGCGCGGCTGCGCTCGGGCGGGCGAACTTCAAACCGCTGCCAGCGCTGTCACCGGAGCGCCCCGGGTCTGGGACCCCTCTATCTCACCGTTCCCCAACCGCGGGTCCTGGTCTCCGCGGCGGCAGGTGCAGCCGGGGCACTTGCACATGGCTGCAAGGCCCGTGTCACTGCACGACGCCAGCCACCTCGGGAGGCTTGAACCCAACAGCGATACCCATCTGTAGAACTCTTAACCCAGCATCAGAAGCCCGGCTGCCCTGCGCACGTTCACACAGGCAGCCCACCTGCGGAAGCCAGCAAGCTGCCACCATGTAAGGATACAAGAACTGTAAACAGCCAGAGCCCAGCATCAGTTGCTATTTCCCATCACCTTCCTTTTCAACTCTGGCTGTGCCAATTTCTTTGAAAATATTATTGAAAACAAAGACTTCAGAAAGGGAAGATGGTGCTATGGGGGGATACAGACCCTAAGGCTTGGAAAATGAATTGCAGACCCTTTCTGGCACATGTAATAAACTTTTTTCTGTTTCTGTATCGTATGGAAGTAGCTATACTTCCTTATCATACAGATGAGTTGTGAGCAGAGATGTCTGTACATACTGTAAGAGAGAAAACAGAGTATTTTAATCCCTTTAAAATGCCATGCCCAGTGCCGCACAAGTTACAGCTATAGGCAGTACATGTTTCAGAAGTACCAGCTCAGGTTCGGTGACAGACGTATAACACCTGACTCTACCAAAGACCACACACAGACTGAGGGGCTTGTAGGAGCCCTGCTTGTGTTCCACATGGGTCATTCACTTTCTTTACTATGTCATTTGTCGCTCTGCCAACCTTTACTCTCTAATGGCTCACACAGGTGCTTCTCTAAGGTACTCTGTTTTCACTAGCTGAGGAACAGCTCAGAGGCAACAGCATTGTAGGGAGGACCCAATCAAACGCTGGATTTAGGAGCATGGAGAAAACCAAATATCAGAGACACAACTTCTGTCAATAAGCTCCAATGTCTGAGGAGGGAAAAATGATGTATCACATGCGGAAACTATTTAAATGACTCCAAACTCGTATTGTGAATGCTTTTGTGTTCCCCTATCAGAATCAGCATTTCAGAAGAAACCAATTCAGTGTGAGCATTGCTGTGCATTCAGAGCCTTTGAACAGTAGCTTAGCTACAAGACAAATGCCATCATAATTAATAGCAAAAGATGCAGATAAACGATGAATATGACGGTGAGCCACACAGCTTGGTGTCGTCGGCAAACTTGCTGAGGGCGCACTCAATCCCACTTGTCTATGTTGCCGACAAAGGTGTTAAACAGCATCGGCCCCAGCGCCAGCCCGAGGGACGCCTCTCGTTACTGGCCTCCACTTGGACATGGAAAATCATGAGGGGAGAGCAGGGGCAGCCGTGAAGGGTGGTTGTGAGGGAATTCCATGAGGGGAGAGGAAAGGCAGCCATGAAGGGTGAGGGGCTGCCATGAGAGAAGATCATGAGGGAAGAGGAGGGGTGGCTGTGAGGGTTGAGGGGTGGCCATGAGGGAAGATCATGAGCAGAGAGGAGGGGCGGCCATAAGGGAACATCATGAGGAGAGAGGATGGGTGGCCATGAAGTTTGAGGGGCAGCCATGAGGGAAGATCGTGAGTGGAGAAGAGGGGCAACTGCGACAGTTGAGGGGTAGCCGTAAGGGAAGGCAGTGAGGGGAGCAGATGTGTGACCATAAGGATTGAGGGGCGGCCATGAGGGAAGATCATGAGGGGAGTGGAGGGGCAGCCATGAGGGTTGTGGGGGCCTATGAGGGAAGATCATGAGGGGAGAATAGGGTGGCCATGAAGTTTGAGGGGCAGCCATGAGGGTAGATCATGAGGGGAGAACAGGGGCAGCGTGGGGAGTGAGAGGTGGCCATGACAGGTAGGGGTGGCAACTATACAGAGTGGGTCACTACGGGAAGCAGATGAGGGGTGGGCGTGAGTGGAGATCATGAGGGACAGCCATGATGGGAAATCTTGAGAGGAAATCAGTTTGCCCTTAGTGACATGATTTAGTGGTGGGGTTGGCAGTCCTGGGGTAATGGTTGAACTTGATGATCTAAACAGTCTTTTTCAACCTAGTTGATTATATGATTCTATAATATAGATAGCAAGAATGGCAAAAAGCAGCTCTTCACTCCTACACGTGAGAGCATCAGTCAATGACAATGAGAATACATTACAGAGTTAGGAGATGCAAAGCCAAATGTCAGTGCTTTTGAGAAATGTGTTTTTTCAGGATAACCACAGTATTTGCACTATCAAAATGCTTTTATTTACTCATCATAATCACTAGTGTTAAAAGCTGGAAAGTCAAGTCTTTCATTCCTCCATGTCTCTGCCACAGTACAGTTTCAAGTATAAGCACTAGTCACATAAACTTCATCCACCCCATTAATTTAGATGATCTATATAGCCTCTTAGAACCAGAAAAGACATTGGTTTCCTTTCCTCTCTCATCACTTTTGATACCCACTTAAAATAAGCACTTAAAAAGAGAAGGGAAAGTCTTAACATAACTGCTTTAAACAGTGGGCAGTCTTTGGAGAGAGATCTTGTCCTCATTCTTTCCTTTATGTTAAACGTTATTTACTAGATCCCGTTAATAAGAGTTCACTTAAGGGCAGCTAGAAAGAAGCTGAGTGAGAAAAGAATACTGGAATTCTTACTTGTGCCATTAACCACAAGTGTGGGCTCTCCTCTTCTTCACCCTTAAGGATCTATCAGCAAAACTGCTTTGCACTTGATTTCTGGTGGCACCGGAGGAGTTGAAGACAGCAAAACTTCATTTTCAGAGCTCCAGTTTCAGTTTGCAGTGCTGACACCTAGAGTTAAGCTTTCAGCTTTGTAAAATAAATGGGTTGGATTTGCAGCTACACAAAGATGAGGTGTACATTTCATGGTGTCATTTCAAAAAATATCCGTATTTAAAACATGTCTGCTTTCCACTTTAGAAGCAAACAAATTCCCATTCAACCACTACTTCAGCTTTTCCAAATGACAGACAAACAAGTACTGGGGAAAGGGTGAGAAATGCTTTGTTCAACATTACATTATAATAGCATGACAAAACAGCAAAGGGTACACATAGATATGATGTGCATGACCTCTTTGCACTTTTTCAAGAGTTTTTCTACAACTAACCCTAGACAGGTTATTTCAGATTACCAGATGAATTCTGATTAGTTCAACCTACAGCCTAACTTCAAACAAATATAAAAAACCTCCATTTGCAAGTTTTTCAGATGAGAACTCACACTGCCTTGAATGGGAGGATGAGGTGAGCACAAAATGTCTGAAGAACCCCTTAGCAGTTTAATAAAAGGCACTGAGAAATCACTGGAGTTGTTGCTACACTGATGAAAATCCAGTGAAAGGAAATTTTCTATTTGAACAAGACACAGGCACAGGCATTGGCTTGTTTCTCTTCAATTTGAAAACGCTGGTGCTGGTTTTTATTGCTACAGAAAAATACAACTGAAAGTAGAGATTTACCCACAGCCTAGATTAGAGAGAAGGGGGAAAACGTCAAAATCATTGCCAGCGGTAGTCGTTTGTCACTACACTATGTGAGCTCTGTGAATAAAGGGGGTTGTTCAAGCTTATTTGATAAACTGCATCTCAGGAAATGCTGGGCCTTATTAAAAAAAAATGAAATAATGAGAAATAGCAGAGGAAGAATAGGAGCGCAGACATTGGCAGATTAGGGCTGTGGGGGAAGTGCAAGGTCAGTACAGAGTCAGTAAGTGAGGGGTCAGAAGAGAACTAGCTCTAGGAGACAGCTGGGGAATGAGAAAGGTTATTTATGGAGAATAAGGTTGAATTTCATTCAGGACTGAAGAAAAAGAAAGAAGGCTAGGAAAGAGCTTGGAATGAATGTTATCAGTTTGGTTTGCAGAGCAATGCGTGCTGTGGGAGATCAAAGTATTTAGAGAACAAATAGGTAAGCTTAAAATTTTAAAAGGATTGAAAATTAGAATATTCAGCCACTTCCCCATCTACCCCACAGATAAATTACACTGGATCCTGCATTTTTTACAAAAGACTGAAAACCGCAGACTCCCAGATCTTCCTCACTGCTCCCCATCTGCTACCTACCACCAAATTTCATAAGTGAAAGCACTTCCCTGTTGATGTATCAGCAGCATGCATCCATTTCACACAGCCTTTAGCCATTTCCTGTTGCACACACTGAGTTCATGCAAGAGTACTGGGACAGTTCATTCTTGTCCAATTACACAAAAATGCGTATGAAGGCCTTGAAAAAGTTTGGTGCCAAAATCCAGTTCTGATAATATTTCACTTGCCAAGACACTGAGAGCCAGAATTATGCAGAAGAAATGATGGGCTAACACCTGTATGAGCAATAAGTATCAGTGTGCTTTGAAAAAATGTTTGTTCAGCAATGGCAGCATAAGAGTGCCTGCAACTGAGTAAACACAAGGCAGCAATCTTGATACAGATTACATTGGTTTAATTGCTTCTCTCCCCAGGTCAGCTGTATGTTCCAAATGTGTCTTTTGGCCTTCTGAAAAGTTAGGCAATCCTGCTGGTCTATAGGCCAGCAAAGGAGGCAATGGGGAGGAGGAACTGTGGAAAATGTGCCAGCACACAAACAACTGAATGGACTCTACACTGCTAACTACTGACACACACAAGCTGTGACAGAGCTCGTCTCTCCAGCCTCGAGATCTTTACTGTAAGGGTGATGAGGCACCGGAATGGGCTGCCCAGGGGAGCTGTGAATGCTGCATTCCTGGCGGTGTTTGA